GAGTCTCACAGCCTCTCCTGCCCGGACTGGCTTTGAACCGCGATCCTCAGATCTCAGCCTCCTGAGTAGCTAGGATTACAGGCGTGAGCCACCAGCGCCCGGCTAGAGCACTAGTCTTAAGGGGAGATCATTTGCCTTTTTTTTGGCAGTCCTGGGGCTTGAACTCTGGGCCTGGGCACTGTACCTGAGCTGCTTTTGCTCAAGGCTAGTGCTCTATCACTTGAGTCACAGCACCAATTCTGGATTTTTGTGTTTCTGTGGCAGTGAGGAATGGAACCCAGGTCTTCATGCATGCTAAGCAAGCACTCCACCACTAAACCACATTCCCAGCCCATAGTCTTGAAAGGAAAACTCAGGGATTGCATCCAGGCCCTGACTTCAAACCTCAGCACCAACAAAGAAAAAATAAATGGTGTTGAGGTGTAGCTCACCAGTAGAGCACCTGAACATCAAGCCCAAGGTCCTAAGTTCAAACCCAAACCCCAGTACCACACACACAAACAAAGGAGTTATAGCCAACTTAGGTCTCACACCTTCTCTAAGGTAAGAAAGCATTACTTAGTTCCAACCAACTAATTCCTTGAGACAAACCCAGAGTGGCTCACACCTATAAACCTAGCTATTCAACCTGGCTGAGACATGAGGATCTTGGTTTGAAGCCAGCCAGTGCTGGAAAGTCCTTGAGATTCTTCTCTCCAATAAATTATCAAAAAGCCAAAAGTGGAGCTGTGGTTCAAGTGGTAGAGCACCAGCCTTAAAAAAAAGAAGCTTAAGGATAGATCCCAGGCTCTGAGTTTAAACCTAGGGATTGGCACAAAACAAAACAAAAAGCCCAGAATTGTCAGGTCTTTTGATTTTTTAAACAGAAGCAAAAACGGAGACTTTTGTGTGGATTCTCTCTAATTTTTTTTTTTAATTTTGGCCTTGGGTCTTAAACTCTTGGTCCAAGCACTATCCCTAAACTCCTTTTGCTCAAGGCTAGCACTCTACCACTTGAGCCACAGCACCACTTCCAGTTTTCTAGTGGTTTACTGGAGATAAGAGTCTCACAGGCTGGGTGCCAGTGGATCAGACCTGTAATCCTAGCTACTCAGGAGGCTGAGATCTGAGGATCACGGTTCAAAGCCAGCCTGGGCAGGAAAGTTCGTGAAACTCTTATCTCCAATAAACCACTCAGAAAACTGGAAATGGTGCTGTGGCTCAATCGGTAGAGTGCTTGCCTTGAGCTGAAGAGCTGAGGGACAGAGCCCAAGCCCAATGTTCAAGCCCCACGACTAACCAAAAAAAAAAAAAAAAAGAGAGAGAGTCTCACAGCCTTTCCTGTCTGGGCTGACTTTGAAGTGCGATCCTCAGATCTCAGCCTCCTGAGTAGCTAGGATTACAGGTGTGAGGCACAGGTGTCTGGCCTCAACATCACTTCTTGCTTTAACACATGGTCTATAGCTTGATGCTTTTACTTACACCTTGTTTGGATGGGTCAAGCCACAGCTCGTTACTCAGCCGTGCTAGGGCTTGGATTGTCTTCCCAAAGACTATGGAGAAAAAAGAAAATGCTGCTTATGGTTTTTCTCAGCATGCAGAACACAAGATACATTGGTAAAGAAAACTGGGATGAACTGTAACAATTTGTCTCTGTCCTTGGGTCAAATTCCTGAAAAAGGAAATGGAGTTTTTAGGATTGTAGATGCTACAGCTCATCATCCACCAACTGGTTATTTGGGAAATTGCTGATATCTGTTCTACCCAAACTTTACTACCTATTTTTGAAATGCATACACAGGTTCAGTATGATTCTACCATTCACCCTGAACCCTATAAACTATAACATTTGGCTTCTCTTTAGCATCCAGTATGCTCAGGCTAACCATAATGACCTCAACTTACGCTCTGTGTCAAGTTCTACGAGGACAAATATAAAGCTAAATGCAAGACCATGAGGGGAGTTCACTTGCTATATGTAGCCAAATTTATGTGAGGCGGTCTGCCCAGACACATTAGCACAACTTCCTGTTAACTAATAGAATGTGTTGATTTTTGTCAAACCAAAAAGCAAGTGACTATATCTGGCATTTGTTCAACTGATATATACCCACATGTAATTATACATTACATAGCAGTATACACTAATGTCACATTGCCTTAAGAACTACAATGCGCTGGTGGCTCACACCTCTCCTCCCAGCTACTCAGAAGGCTGAGATCTGAGGATCATGGTTCGAAGCCAGCCCGGGCAGGAAAGTCGGTGAGGCTCTTTTCTTCCACGGATCACCCCAAAGCCGGAAGTGGAGCTGTGGCTCCTGTGGCAGAGCGCTCGCCTTGAGCAACGGAGCCAGGACAGCCGCGTTCAAGCCCCACAACCGACAAACGGCAACAACAAAGCTACATAAATAACACAGAAGGCCTTGGGCCTCGTGCTCGGGCTGCGGCGCCGGCGGGGCCCGGGCGCGCGGCCTCAAGCCGGAACCGCTTCGTGGACTTCACGCTTTCCCCTTCTACGCGAGAAGCACCTTTCAGCTGACCGCCGTTCATCGTGCACTTCAGCATGGCCGCCGGCGCTACTCTGCAGGCCGAGCGGCGAGCACGCACTCCGATACCCGGATGTTGCCCGCTCCTTTCGAGCTAGGCAATCGCTCCACTCCCCTTCTAGAGCTTTCCAAAGCGCAGCCGGCTCGAAAGGGCCTAGGCGGGCCTCCGTAGAATTCTTCTTCTTCTCATTGGTCGTGACGGGGGTGGGCGGTCCTCCGTAGAATTCGCTTGCAGACCTCCCTTGTCATTGGTCGTGAGACGAGGGGGCGGGCCCCCGTAGAGTTCTCCTGACCACCTCGCTTCTCATTGGTCGCGGTGGGGGGGGCGGGACCGGGAAGTCAGAGGAAGAGGGCTGCGGTGCTGGCGGTGAGCGAGCGGAGCGGCGTGACAGGATGGTGAGCGCGGCCGCTTCGGTGGCGGGGGCCCGGCGCTGGCCGGGGTGCTGCGGTGTCGGGCTCCGCGGGGAGACTCAGGAGAAGAGGTCGGGCGAGGCCCGAGGCGCTGGCGGGCCTGGCAGAGGCGCTGGCCTGGTGCAGGCCTCCGAGTGGGGCTAGGAAAGAGGCGTGGCCACGTCTGGGCGCGGCGGCCTCGCCCGAGCCCGGGAGCCGGAGCCCGGGGTCCCGGTGCAGGCGGGGTCCCGCCCGCAGGTCCCCCCCGGCTCCCCTCAGCTGCTCTTCGGATCACAAGGTCCGCGCGCCGAGCTGGGAAGGCCTCTGGGCCCCGAGCGGCCCCCTCGGGTTCCAGACGCTTCCCTGCGTCTGTCCTGCTTAAAGCGCCCCCC